CATTAGCAGGGTAAAACAGTTTTGTTGTTATATGAAAATGTCACAGTTTTCTGAATATGCAGGACAAAAATAGATTATTCTGATGCTGGATTAATCCACACCATAAAAATCCAATTCCAATGATACATACAAATCCGATCTTTTCTCCACTGATATCGGTGTACCTGGACTCGTCTGGGATGAGGTACAAAAGGAAACTTACAGTAAACCTCCGCTCAGTGCAAATAAGCAGGTAGTTTGAACACATGCTTTTTTTCAATAAAAACAATAATTTTCTGTATAGTGATAGTTCAAAACCTTTTTAGTTTGTTTCATCTATATTTCATATTGTTCAAACATGTTGCGAAACTGCATGTTTAACAATTGATAAAGACCATTGTCGCAGTAATTATCACTCCATGTTGTCACTATTCACATCAAGGTTAAACACTGTGGGTAGCAGGTTGTAAATAACCATGGTAAGCAATTGATAGCATCAAATTATACACATACATGTCACTTAATTATCAGCAATGTGCAGTGTGATTTCTTTTACATCTTGCTATAACATCATGTGTGCGCCAGCTAACACCACTGGAGGCCCCAACTATGTATAACAAGTTTAGTGATCAGTAAATATTTTGTCAAAGAACAACATTGTTTCCCATTTTGATACGATTATCATTCACAATATTCAACATTCAAAAATGTGCACAGTATTTTCAGTATTACCATGTTATGTTCATTTTAACCATTTGTTGTACATCTAATCTAAATGAAAACTTATTTCATTTTTCTGTAGATATTTTTTAATCAATATACTTGTTGGTGAGACTATCCTCCAATATTCAATTGATCCCGATGGCTGTAATACAGGTTTATAACCTGGAATTGGCATATTTCCAGATAAATATGGAATATTTGTTTCTCCTTTAAATCCAGCTGTGTCGAGATAGTGGAATGTGTACCACTGGACCTCATACTGTAAAATTGTTGATGGTATTAGACCTATTTATCAAATACTCCTTATTTAATGTTTCTGTGATCTTCACTCACAACATCTTCATCAAATATTGACAAATCACTGTGTAATTAATCTCCCTTGTTTTTCACCTTGTCCGGAAATTCCTACTACCTGACCAACAATAGTAAATGATGACATTAGTGTCAGCAGGATCGTTAACCACAAAGGTGAGACAATCACACAGGTACAGAACATGTTAATCACAAGCACCCTCGGGGCACCAACATGGAAATTATGGAAGATATAACCGACACATAGAGTTGAAAAGGAAATATTATAGTAGAACAAGGATGACTAAAGGTTTACAGTGTTCCATCACTGATCAGAGATTTGATGACACTATCGACAGAATCTTTAACATATACAACAAATCCTTCTCACAGGCGCTTGACACAAAATTGAATTAAATAGATATCTATCTACATATACCAACACTGATAGCTTACAATAACAGCTCTAGGGATACTTAACATTTACAACAAACCCAACGTTTAGATCCCATCTCAGATAATACAGATTACCACTTGTACCCACGTTTCTACACTGCCTTGTATTATCACTCCATTTTAATGGCTGACAACCATGAAGTCGTTGTTTCTAAAACTTGTAAATTTTCTTTTTAATGTGTGAATTTATTCACATATTCAAAGATCAATTTTAAATTTAAAAATATTTTTATCATTTTCTAGAAATTAAAGTAATTGGTATCTTTTAAATTTACCTTATACCTTACATGAACCAGGCATCACCTGGTGCTTTTACAAAGTGAAGGTACTTGAATATCTTTTACTAAATAGATTGATATAAAGATAGCTTTCCTGCTACACAGGCCACTAAATCATTCATAAACACAAAGGTATGTTGTATTGGTGACAAATCCATTGTTTTGTTTTTCATTATTTCTGATGATCAAATATTTAACATTGTTCACTTGTCATCAGGGTCTCTGAAAACTCTTGGGCCTTCCCTAGTTCTTGTAAAACCAATTTTCATGATGTAATACTTACTATAACTTTAATATACATATTCAATGCCTACATTCTCTTCACTGTATGGCAGATAAGCTGATTGGATCATTTTCTACACTGCTCCTCGTTGCGCTTTCAATGGCTGTTTTAAGTTTGTTGATCCCTTTTTCAGCAGTAACTGAATATTGTGCATCTATCCCTTATTGTTGGTGAAACTATTTTCAGTGATTTCTGCCGTTTTTGGCAGATTAAATGGTTCAGCTCTCCTTTCAGTCAGACTAACGTTGAAGTGTACTGTAGGCATGTCCATTTTGTTTCTGTTAGGATTGGTTTTAAAAGGTTGTCGTATTCTTGTGTATTTCTATGTTTTACACATTTAAGTGGTTTTTTTTCAGGTGAGTGTACGTTGATTAACTATACTATACTATGCTGTACTAAATCCCCAGAGACTTTGGTGTGGAACATCATCATGCTTCGCGATTGCCATCTCAAAGTACCAGAATCAATAGCTGTAGTTACCCCTTCTCCTCTCACTTTACTAATCACGATGTCTAGTTACTTATGTCTAAATGCCTACTTACCTTTTTATAGATGATATTATCAAAACTACTATATAAACTGGTCCCCCAAGCCCCTCTCCCCATGTCAACATTACTGCCCCATCCACTCCCCCGATGTTGGCTTTATCATGGTGATATTGATTCATGCACTAACCATACAATGCATTATGACACTAACTGTATTTCAATTTTATGACCACATTCTCACATCCTACATGGTGCCTGTTCTCAAAACTTCATTCAGAATTACATATAATCAGAAATGACTGTTTTCAGCAAGCTCTGACAACAGCTAGGTTTAAAACTGAACACTAGAATATTAATATGGAGGACTATTACAGTATATATCTACAGAGAGATAAATATTACATGTAAGCTGGAGTGTACATATCATTACCTAGCTTTCCACAGGCACAAGAACCCTAATTTAATTTCATGCTCATTAATAATGTACTGATCTGAGGTCTGAGTCAACAGACATATAATGAGGAATGGCTATATACGTGGGTCTCCAGAGTGTGATGGGGTGGAGGGAGGGGGGTGGTACAGAGTGTGGTGGGGTGGAGGGGGTGGTACAGAGTGTGGTGGTGTGGAGGGAGGGGTGGAGGGAGGGGTACAGAGTGTGGTGGGGTGGAGGGAGTGGTACAGAGTGTGGTGGGGTGGAGGGAGGTGTGGTGGGGGTGGTACAGTGTGGTGGGGTGGTGGGGGTGGTACAGAGTGTGGTGGGGTGGAGGGAGGGGTGGAGGGAGGGGTACAGAGTGTGGTGGGGTGGAGGGAGTGGTACAGAGTGTGGTGGGGTGGAGGGAGGTGTGGTGGGGGTAGTACAGTGTGGTGGGGTGGTGGGGGTGGTACAGAGTGTGGTGGGGTGGAGGGAGTGGTACAGAGTGTGGTGGGGTGGTGGGGGTGGTACGGAGTGTGGTGGGGTGGTGGGGGTGGTACGGAGTGTGGTGGGGTGGAGGGAGTGGTACAGAGTGCGGTGGGGTGGAAGGAGTGGTACGGAGTGTGGTGGGGTGGAAGGGGTGTTGCCGAGTGTGGTAGGGTGAAGGTACACAGTGTGCTGGGGTGGGAGGGGTGCTGAGTGTGGTGGGGTGGTGATGAGTATGGTGGGGTGGTGCTGAGTGTGGTGGGGTGGTGCTGAGTGTGGTGGGGTGGTGCTGAGTGTGGTGGGGTGGTGATGAGTATGGTGGGGTGGTGCTGAGTGTGGTGGGGTGGTGCTGAGTGTGGTGGGGTGGTGCTGAGTGTGGTGGGGTGGTGCTGAGTGTGGTGGGGTGGTGCTGAGTGTGGTGGGGTGGTGCTGAGTATGGTGGGGTGATGGGGTGGTATTGAATTTAGTGTTATTGACAAGCAACAGCAGAGGTGCTTGTGGTAACATTTGATAGTATTTAAGCAGTAAGATTTTAAAAAATCTTCATTTATTTTCAGAACATTCCCACAAAATTTCAGTCAAACAGTATCAGTGGGACAAATGAAGAAGTTTTAAATGTGTTTTTCAAGATGGCTAACATCGCAGACATAATTAATTGATGGATTGTTGCAAATAATATTATTAACCAATTAACATTCTATTTTAATCAATAATTGTTTCAGCCAGACTGTGGTCCATAACATAAAATAAACGGTAATATATGTCTTTTCGACATGCACAAATTTAATCTTTACTTAATTGTAAAGTAGTCCTACTGCTTACCGTTTTACAGCGAATGTATCATATAAAACAAGACATCTTAATATACTGCTGCAAGTCCCAAATGTTTAGAAAATTACAACCAGGAAGGACTCTTGGTACTCAATTATCATCAAATTAGGGTTGGAATTTCCTCTACTATCATCCGACTATTGATGTTGCTGTGACCCCTAGACACGAGGCCAGACCACACTTCCAGACTCCCCCATCCCATATCGCTGGCATTGTTTTCCCCTCAGTCACCATGAGGGAAGTTGAGGGGCACATTTGGGTAATTAACAACACTGTTGGTCCAGGAATATCTAAATTGCATTAGTAAGTTAAACAGGAAATATAAAAGTATGTCATTAATTTAATCTTTAAATGAAATTTAAAAACATTTTTACATGTAGTCCCCTCACCCCTAAAGTTCCTTACTGGGACATCAGTGGGTTTGTTATCACACATGACAGACATCAGTGACCCAAGAAGCCACATGACCACGTTTTGCCTTAGTTGTACAGATAAACATTTTTACTGCAGTCAGAATGCATGTGCATTATCCCAGTGGTGTGGTCACATGCATGAGCATGCCAAGAGAACAAAGGACCTGGACATTGCATGCACATCCATACATAAATCACTTTGATGCATGGTATGTTTCATATCAGATAAATTCCCTACTATCATTTATGGCATTATATTGCCCCCATAATCAACCTAAAATGAGAAATCTGATACAGACTATACTAAAGTATGTCACCATGAAGATAGGAATGGAAATTCCAATATCTGTCTTTTGTCAGCAAGTGTCAAATCTATCAGGTTTAATCAAGATGTGAGGGGAGAGGACCTGGCCTTGTCTCAGCCATCACATGTCATAGTCATCCTGGCTGTGTCAAATTTATCAGGACAAATGTGAGAAAAAAGACTCCAGTCAGCTCTCAACATTTATTTTTAGATCCAATACAACATGTTTAAAATCTTTTATTTCTAAGGCTCACTGGTTTACAGGAGGCAAAAATCAATAGCATATTATAGTCGACATCGAAGTATGAATTTCAAAGATAACAGGAAGGTTCAACTGACTGACAGTGTAGAATTTAATAATGAAAAGATAATTTACAGAAAGTAACATGTAATGCTTCTTTTTGTTTGTTTTAAAAAGCAACATAAAGATGTTTGGAGAACAATGGGAATGGTTTTGTTTTTTCTTTATTAAAGAAGTGGGTTATCATTTTTGATGTACAAACCTGAGGCCAAGCAGCCTCAGTGGCCACCTGAGATAAGCAATATTGATTATAGAGGTTAGAGGTTAAGAACCTTTCCAGTGTCATGAAAAAGAGACTGTGACATTGATGATAAGTCAGGGTCAGTACACGCATACCATCAAAACTGTCATCCTACACGAAGAATTCTTACAAAGTTGATTCTGGTGGGAAGTAAGCTCAAAAATTATTTTTTTCTGCAAAAATTATAGTAAACTTATTCTCCTCCCCAGGTAGAAATGTGAGATCCATTTTTGTAAAGCACCTAATATGCTTCCATCCATGAAGCATTTGATTCTACCATACCTGGATGTTGAGAAGATGATTTTTGAAACTTGAATTAGTTTTGGCCCTGCCTCAGACCCCTGCGGTGTGGGGACCGTACAATTCACTATTTTGGTTCATCTTAGGCCAGGGAAGGTTTCTGCAAAACTTCGTTGAAATTGGTTCTATGGTTTTTGAGGAGAAGTCGAAAATGTGAAATTGTTTGCAGTCAAATGATGCATGTCGAAAAGTGAATGACTCATGATGCCTGACACAGGTGTCGCACAATAGATCACCATGAGACTCTCCAGCGACCTAATATAATACCTGTACACTAGATATGGAGATTTTTTTTCATCTTATTTTTTTCATTTTGAACCTTGCAAGAAAAAAAAATATGGAAAAAATTGTTTTGAAGAAATTTTTGGTATTTCAGGTAATTTAACAATTAATTATGAAAGAGTCGTGCTGATCCTTAACTAACAAATGCATGGAACTAATTTTTATTGCCAACCATTTTTTGCCCTGATGTTGCTTAATTGACATGTTCACTATAATAGAGTGATGGTGAAGTTTAAGCTGAAATGGATATTGTATATTGATTTCTAAGGCCCTGTCTCAACATGCTCTCCCATTCAATACAATGATAATCTTGATTGTTGTTCTATCCTACTTCCAGCCTCAACCTGCCTTACGCATCCATGTGTAGTCTCCAGCCTTGAGCTCCAAAACCTGACTTATATATAATCTGCCTTACGCATCCATGTGTAGTCTCCAGCCTTGAGCTCCAAAACCTTACTTATATATAACCTGCCTTACACATCCATATGTAGTCTCCAGCATTGAACACCCACCCTGTCTTGTATATATATAACCTGCCTTACGCATCCATGTGTAGTCTCCAGCCTTAAGCTCCAAAACCTGACTTATATATAACCTGCCTTACGCATCCATGTGTAGTCTCCAGCCTTGAGCTCCAAAACCTGACTTATATATAACCTGCCTTACTCATCCATGTGTAGTCTCCAGCCTTGAGCTCCAAAACCTGACTTATATATAACCTGCCTTACGCATCCATGTGTAGTCTCCAGCCTTGAGCTCCAAAACCTGACTTATATATAACCTGCCTTACGCATCCATGTGTAGTCTCCAGCCTTGAGCTCCCAAACCTGACTTATATATAACCTGCCTTAGTTTCCAGCATCCATGTGTATATCTCCAGCCTTGAGCTCCAAAACCTGACTTATATATAACCTGCCTTACGCATCCATGTGTAGTCTCCAGCCTTGAGCTCCCAAACCTGACTTATATACCTGCCTTACACATCTAGGTTTAGTTTCCAGCATTGAACACCCACCCTGTCTTGTATATAACATGCCCTATACATCTAGGTTTAGTTTCCAGCATTGAACACCCACCCTGTCTTGTATATAACTTGCCTTACACATCTAGGTTTAGTTTCCAGCATTGAACACCCACCCTGTTTTGTATATAACCTGCCTTACACATCTAGGTTTAGTTTCCAGCATTGAACACCACCCTGTCTTGTATATAACATGCCCTATACATCTAGGTTTAGTTTCCAGCATCGAAAACCACCCTGTCTTGTATATAACATGCCCTATACATCTAGGTTTAGTTTCCAGCATTGAACACCAACCCTGTCTTGTATATAACTTGCCTTACACATCTAGGTTTAGTTTCCAGCATTGAACACCCACCCTGTCTTGTATATAACCTGCCCTACACATCTAGGTTTAGTTTCCAGCATTGAACACCCACCCTGTCTTGTATATAACCTGCCTTACACATCTAGGTTTACTGTTCCTCCTTTGTTCATGTACAGCAATCAATAATAAACGAGTGTGGAAAATAATTCGGAGCTGGATTCCACTGAAACATGCAGGAAGTAGGTAGACTGATACACAGAGATGTGTATTGAATCTACAGATACATTTTAGCTGTTTTTGTAATCAGACTTCTTGTTGAAATGCATTAATGGTTCATTTCAGCTGAAACTGTTAAGTTTGTTTGCATGTTTCCATTTTCCCATTTTGCTGTTCTGCATCATGTATATGTGCATCAGCTGTACAGGCCTTGATAAATCATTCATTTCTCATACCACGGCAATTTTTTTTTAACCCTTGCAAAACAATGTGACAAATGTCATTCCATAAAAAAATGACAAATAAAATACTGATATATCACTGGAAATAGCTGGTTTATGTCAAAGCTATTCACAAAACCATAATAAAAATCGTGTAAATCTGATGCTTTCAAGTAAAACTCACTGCTACAAATCAACGTTTCCTGTAAATAATAATTTAACAAATGAAAGCTGTATACAGCCCTGCATATGTTTTGTAAGAAAATGGCACATACATTTTTCCAAAGCAACACATACAGCTATAGCTGCTGTTCTGCAGAGAAGTCATTGTAACCATAAAAAGCATCTTTTCTGAAACCAAACTGAGCAGAACATGGTGTACACTGGCAATCACGAGCAGGAGAAAGCCTATATGTGTATATTGATTTCAATTTTGGTGATTTCATTCCATCGTAGCTGTAGGGAGTTCCTGGACCCGGTTCATTGCATGTTGTTAGATGTTTCTTAATCAACTGCTGAATAAGATTTGTTTAAAGCTAGTCAACGATTGTGTAGGACTTCCCTGTATCAGCATTCACAGAATACAGTTGCTTCTCTCTGCGTGTTTACAGCCTAGATCAATAACAGATCCATATTGAGGTCAATACAGATGTTTTGTTTCAAATTTACTATGTACTGGGTATATTAAAACCTGCAACATAATTTCATCAATGATCACTACATGTTTTTAAGCAGTAATGAACAAATTCAATTTACATTAACACAGATTGAAATATTTCAGAGTGTAATAAACATTTTTTTTTTTTTTAAAAAAGTGAAAAGTATTGTTTATCTGCAAACAAGAAAAGGTGTAGGCTTTTTCAATACAAATTTTACAAAAAAAACTGCTTAAATCATTTCACTATCTTCAACAGTATGTGCATATTTTTAAAAATCTTTACAGGTCATTTTTGCTGGCAAATTAAAATAAAAATATTTTATCATCCAAATCATGTTTTCTTTTGCCAATGTTTATATAACTACGCTGTTGGCCATCTATCAAAAGTCAGAAGAAGAGGACTACAAAAAGATAAGTGAGAAATGAATGAAAGACATAATTTGAGAGAGCTGTGTAATGAGGGTGGAGGGCTAGGCAGGTTTGGATTCACATAACCTTGTGCGTCGGCAGAGCTATGCATCCACATCACAAGTGTCCAACCTGATACATCTCAATAGCTTCTGTTCCAACACAAGGGAGTTCCAAACAGACCCCGCATCAAGAGATGTACACAAAGCCAGCCAAGATAATGTAATTATAACAAGAACAACATTTCTCTGATCTTATCGCTACAGCTTCTCATAAAATTTTATGAACCACTTTGTAAAATTTTAGATAGGGTTGAAATTTTAAAAGAAGAACATGATCTTGCTGTTTTTTTTAACATGATATAAGATTCTTACAACTCTGTGATTTGAGAAGGGGTCAAATTTGAGTAAAAAGATGATGACCTACTATATCATGTAACATAGATCTAGTGTAGATATCAATGTAGGATTTCATGAATGGCTCGCTGTACAGATACGTGCACAACCCCTAGTAGCTGTGCTTATGGTGAATCTGTTCATCATCAAATGCGTATGAACAATATAAAATATGTATTACAATTCTAATGAAATTGGTGAACAAATATATCTCACACCTTTATATATAGAATATACAAATCAAGTTTACAAATACTGAAGAAATATTTCTTGTGTGTTTTCAAGTTCCAGTACTATTAATTTCTAGTATCAAAGGAAGGACTTTCATATGCATGAAGATACAAAGTATTGAATCACAGAAGGAAAATGAAACTTCATGAATTGACAATAAATATGAAAAGCTGATGTATCAGGCACAATATACTTCACTTCATACAGCCTCTTCAAACTGAGTATCAATGTTTTCCTGTTGTGAAGTATGCACTCCACACTCAACAGGAGATGTTTATCATCAAACCTGAGACACCATCGCACTAACAATACCTAGATCTCTTTCGATATTTTTTACAAAGAGACACAAAAAAGGAGAAGCTGTAGCAAAAGCATTTGGACCACCTGTGTCTTAACCTTTGGCAAATTGTTCATCACTGAAGTATAAATCAGAGGATGAAACAAAAACGGATTTCAAGGACCAAAACACAACATGTATTCAACCCTACGGCAGTCAGCAATGTATCTGTACCAGAATAATGAACAAAATTCTTTGATTCCATTTTACAAAAAGAGCAAGCCATTTCTTCCCGACAACAGACAAACTGAACCTCATACTTTGCTACGACACGATACCTGGCATCAATTCATACTTATGCTGATACCTACAAGATAATTTAATGCATACACAAGAAACAGAGTGAATCGTGCCAAGATGTAATTGTTTCTTGTCTAGTACTAATAGATATATATATACAGCAGGCCAATGTCTGTTAGCTTTCTGAACCAGTTGTGGAATTTGTGTACTAATCGAGATAGTAGTAAAGTGACAGTACTTTGTATTACTTATGTAGACACTTTGAATAGTACACTAAGGAACATATATCCTATCTTGTGAAACTATCCATGCATTTTTTTAATGAAAGTAAAGAAAAAGGTTAACATGTAAGTTAAATTCATAACAATCAACACCCTTATAGTCACAGCTTTTATAATAGCGAGTTATGACAATTCTGTGAACAAAAATTTCAACAAATCATCCGAAGATCCTTTAAGTATCAATGTAGTGTCCAGTATCCCGGGGTCAACATTGTGGCAAAAAAGATTGGTGGGGGCAAACCACCTATTATATGTCAATGATAATTACTATAACTTTAGTGGGAAAATCTTCCACTAATTTATATCTTCCATTCTTCTGAGTGTTAATGCATCACCATCATTCATATCGAATTTGTGGTTTAGTAATGCCCTTCTATGGTCTGTGAAAGGCTTATCTTAGCTTATCATTATCAATTACACATTTGAAACCGTGAAGACACTTCAGCAACTTTGGAAATTCGTAACTAGAATGTAAATTTTATTCAAATTTACAAACTTTAACTTGATGAACTGATTATGTAAATTTGCAATTGATTTCATGAATTGGAAGGGTTACCAACTGACATTTGATAATAAACGATTACATTTAATCATTATCCATGGCCCTTAAACTCTGATATAGAATTGATCAAAGTTGTGACAGACATAGATCTGATCTTCAGATAATACTTATTCCACTTGTTCATATTCTGTCATTGGTTTAAATAATATTGATTTGGAGTTACCTTTTTGTGTGATTCACAAAACAAAAATCTGTCCTACCATAAAATATGTACTGACAGAGACTATGTATGTGTAGGAGACAGAGAGGACTAATGGACTTTTTCTGTCACAGACATAAAGGCCAACTGCACATGTCAGTCATCGGTTCTAGGGTCTAAGGCCTTGTGTTTGTCCTCACACTCACAAGCAGTGGTTTCTGGCTCAAAGTCTAATGCATATTTAGACTTAACATGCAATCGCTTATAATAACAAACAGGCAGCATGGCCCCACAGCCAATTTTCTTTTTTTTTTACAAAAAAAATTTCAATGATGATGTTGTTCCTCTGGTTAGTACCATTGATCCTTGTGATGTATTGATAAGTTAACTTAATCTTTTTTTAAATTATGACCTCATGTACATGTGCTTCTTATTAAGAAACAAAAATTTAACCTTCAGAATTTCACAGTTTATCCCATATTTTTTTCTGTGCACATTTCAAGGTATTTCTTGCATCAAATTTGAAACCAATGAAATCATATATAGCCAGAATTCATATAATAAAACACATTTTGAAGAACAGTGAAAATCTGTAACATTAATACCAAAATCTTTTGGGTCAGAGTTGATGTCCATCGTTACTCTCTGCATATCAATGATAAGACATTGATATGAATTTTATTTAGAAAAGCAACATGACACTAGAGTAGTTACACCCCTACCAAAAAGATTGGTTCTTTTCAAGTTCATAATATATTGACAACACCATATTCCAGTTTCAAGAAGATTCCATTGTCAAAAGCAAATGATTCTTGGTTTCATGATGTCATTTCTATACTCTGGTAGGTCAAAAGTTCATCTTGTTGTTGACGAATTGTAAAGAGGCACCATACACTGTAATGTTATTGTAACTGTTATTAAGTAGGGGGTCTGAGGTCTGCCTACAAGAAGACCATCCCTTCCTTTCCCCGTAACAAAACTTCAAAAGACGTCACAGGTAGGATCGACTGTCTAACAATAAAATACATTTATGTCCTGACACTTCAGTTGACCGGTGACATGACAAATGACTCTGACCACTGTTGGTCATCTCACTGGACAATCATCTGGGGAGTCTCAATTATCACACCCACCTTACAGGTGACCAGTGGCCAGAACTACAGGTGGCCAGTATTTTTGTCAAGAACTGACCAAGGGATCTGATGTGTCTTTATATAGCAAGGATGAATGACAAAAACCTCTTTTTTTAAGATCGTGAACTTAATTTTTAACTTGATTTTGCTACATTAAAGCTAACAAACGCTTTATAATGGTGGGTCTAAATAGTTGACCTTTGGTCAATCTGGTCAGCCTCGGGCTAAGTTTACCACAGTTGAAGTGGTATTAGTTCGGATTATCACACAATAATAGAACGGTCAGTCAATAAAGCAATCAATAATAGACTAAACTCCTGATTTATGAGATCAGAACACATAGTATATTTATACAAACAGGAAATGTCAAATGGCGAGCCATTGATACTATCAGTAACATCAATAAATACAGATAACAAAACATCTCTTTTAGACTTATACCACCAATACAACAGATTTGCCATGAAGATATTTTTATCTTCAATCATTGTTTTAAGTATATGTGTAAGTATTACAATTATTGTAGTAGGTAGAAAATCTTACTGTGGCTATAGCATTCTCAGATAGAAATGAACCAATTCAAAATACATCAAAATTGGTAGTGACAGCTGCACCACTTCCACGGTGATTAGAAACCAGATGAAAGAATTCTTGTTTCAGAAATGACTCAACTTCAGTTTGCAGTACACAATCATCTAAATCAGATGAAAAAAGCTAATTAATCTGAAACCCTGTATAATGTGTCAAGAGAAGTTTGGCTTTAAAAAAGGGCAGCACTGAAAAATCTTTGGACTCAAGGAGCCTAGTCATTTTTTTGTAATCTTCAACAATCGTCAACTGTCATTTAATGATTTGGTTTGGCTGAATTCCATGAATATTTAATGAGTACAAATGAAGTCACGTCATAGCAGTGTTGCTGGAGAGAAAACCATCAATTTGTTGAGCAATATTTTACAGCTCAACTCAACAAATGTCAGTATGAACACTGTCTGTATGTTGATTTACCATGTCATCACGGAATATTCATTTAACAATGACCTGCGGCATTTCTCCGAAACAATTTTCTAAAACCTCACAGGATTTTTCCTGTATCTGAATGATCATTTATAAAATTTCAAAGAAATAACAGCATTCATCCAACCAAATAAAAATTCTTTAGAATTGACCTACCATGAAATTATAATCAAAACTTATTCAAATATAAAAACAAATCACAAAAATATTATGTAACCGATCTAAAATCTTGTCCAACATTTACATGACACATAAGTATTACAATCCTGACAAGGTAATAATTTTCATCTTCTGAAACTTTGGTAGATTGTGAATACTAAAGACCAGCATTCTCATCTGTATCTTTTCAGGAGCTTTTTATCAATATAGCCTTCCCTTAAAACCCTGCAGTCAAACTTATGCTTATAATTTCTGCATTCACTGAGCTAAAAAAAGTTGTTTTCTCAATATAAAGCATAGATCTATATATTTTGATAAATTACACAAATAAGCAGTTGTACATGTGTATACAATATGTAAAGATATGTTGATTTCTACCGAGACAGTGCATCTAATCTTTCGAATGATAATTTCGGTCCTGGTATTGGAGTGCTGGATTCTGTGATTATAGATGACTTAACCAATCTCCATTCATGATAGATGTGTCAAGGTCACTTTCATATGTCAGGAACTTATAGGAAAGGGACGGAATGCGTGTCATCCTGATATCACTTAGACTGACTTCGATGGCATAGCACTCTAACTAACCATTATCATCACATCAAACCCCAGACATCATATCTACCTATTGACCAATCACAGCGATCGATAACCAGTGTCTGGTACAGCTCTTAAACCATCAAATCACAGTGTAGCATGGAACGAAACAGTTCTAAAAAAAATGCAACATATAAAAATAGCACTTCCCTGAACCTTTGTCGTTTCAGTTATGGTGAACTCTTTCACAAAAGTCACAAATTCTAAGGTAAATTCATGATCTTTTGAGCATTTGAGTCTCTGCTGTAATTTGGCATTAGCAAATCCTGACAGTAAGCTTCTGACTGATGCTGATCACCAGTAGAAAACACCAAACAGTCAAGGTTCCATTATAGTAAGTTCATAGTAAAAAAGTACGAAAATCTTACCTTGAAAGTTGTTAGAGTTTGTGACGTGGAATTTCATTGTAATGATCCGATGTTGCATATCTTCATAATCAAGTCGTCTCCCCTGCTTGAGATAGACATATCCATGGGTGTCAACTTGGAATGTGTCTGGAAGTGAAGATTCCACCAAACGATACTGCTCCACCCCAGATATAGGGGGCGGGGTTGATGCTATGCTGAACATAGACTTGCTACTAGGTATACTCTCCTGAACCTCATAGGTTTTCTCTACACGATTGATAACTGTGGACCTTTTAGATAAACCATGAGACTGATGACTATCATGAAAAGATACAAATTTTAAGGCCTTAGGTATCACTTTGACTTCAACACTGACTGGGTCACTCAAGTGACCACTGGAATCTTCAGCCACAACATAGATGAGGTAATTCCCAGAATCAAGGTAACCATTTCTCTTTAGGAATATTTTCCCACTGACAGGATCAATGATAAAAAGACCATTTTCATCCGCAATTTTATAAGAGATGGTGTCGTCATCCATATCAAAGGCACGAACTTGAATAACCCTTCTTCCACTATGAATTGCTGATCCGAATTCAACAGAATATGATGATTTTTCAAATTTTGGAATGTTGTCATTCTCGTCTACCACAAAAATCTTGACCACGGTCTGAGCTTTTTGACCAATGTCATTTTCAGCCTGAACAATAATTCTGTACTGATCAATTTCTTCTCGATTTAGTGGTTTTCGAGAGACAAATTTAACTTCTTCCAAGCGGCTGTAAATATTGTGCTCGAGATAAAAATTATTTGGCCCTGTACTGTGAATGATGGAGTATTTAATATGACCAGGTGAAACAATATTCTGATTTCTAGACCAAATATGCCCAGCTACTTCCACCGGTGAAAATGAAGGTTGATTTTCTTTGATGGTGCCAATATATTGTTGTTGGGGAAATGCAAACAAATCTGTTGAATTGTCAACAATGACGTGTAACACATCCAGGATTGGTCCACTTTCTAATGCATCCCTGACATAAAACGTAAATGTCTTTCCCAATGAAGATATCAGACCAGCTTTGGTCACGAATTGACCATTGACCACACTGAAAAGCGATCTTGCTTTTTCATCAAAACTTTCCAAAACAGGCACTCTTCCTAATACAGAAAGTTTCGTGATTACAGATGATGATTGAGTTTTGAATGGTACATAAATGTTTGTCTCTATTTTTGCATGTGTTGGAACAGCAGTGGAATGTATCAAACTCACCATAGACATTATAAACACAAGGTAACACAAACCTATATCAACTGCTTTCATCCTCACGGTCGCCATGTTGCCTCACGGCTGGAGATCCAGATGAGAGTCCGTGAAAACGTTGTGATAAATTTACGTATAAATAAATTTAACATATATAACTATCATATTACACGCTTGATCTTTAAATAATACATCCGAATAACAAACTGGCGTAGGACGGCTCTCAACTCACACTACTCCAGCAAGACCGTTACATTTTGCGGCGAGCTCTCTCAAAATATCATCTGCATCGCCGCCGCTCGGAACACACCAGTCACAAAATCATAACATCCAACGAAATCCCTGATCGTCCTGTTTTATACCTAGTGAATGGTTTAAACCACACAACTTGCCAGTGATCACATTCATCTGACACACTTACAGTTTAATTCTGCCCTTTATCCAGCTCATCTCCTCTCTCAACGACTCGTGTTCCGAACACTTTCCCTGTGTTTCCATTCGAACGACCCAGGTGTCGGAATTTGTCAAGTCCGGCTGCCGTTCTTTTTACCTCCCCTCTTTGCTAGCTGCGACCAAAGGAATATTGGATGCACACAATCGTATACAAGTGTCAATCGATCGTTCAGTGCAGAGTCTATTTATAAAATATTTCCATGTTCCCGCTGTAGAAATGTGATACTACACTGACGTTTTTAATTATTATGCGTCTAGTTTCTCTTTAAGATTTTCGCGGGAGATGTACGGAACAGCAGATGTATGCAAATAGTGTTTTGACCAATGATTGATGGAGAAGGTATCATATGTTTTTAACAAATACACACGTTTACGAGATTGTAGTAAAGGTTGTAGTAAATGGATTAAATGATATCGATGGATTAATTCGAATGACTACCAAACGATTCAGTTTATCAGAGAAGCCAATTACTTACTGAAATATGTTAACTGATTGACACTCAACTTTGAATAAGGGAAAATCAAATCAGGTTTCTTCTAGCAAATTGTGTGTGAAAATATAAAACAATATGTGATTAAATAAACCTACATTTATATCAGGGACATGTAATGCACGCATTCCTTTATAATTTTATATAATAACAAGATGAAAACATGTTTATCTACCAACTTACCTACTATGTATATAAAATGACATTTTTAGATACGGTTGGCGGTAGCTTAAAACAATCTATACATGTATTTCACTTTAAATCCTTTTGTATATATACATATAAAGAAACTTGTTTCACTTTTCAAAGACCTGTTTTGTGTAATTGTACACAAAATGTAGAAAATATGTATATATTAATGTATTAACATAAATAGAATTTAACGAGTACCTGGTATACAATATTCCCTTCAAATGAAATGACACGGTATGACATTACATCATTATATAAATCAAATGTTTGTCATTATTTCAGTGTCATAACATGTCAACCATAATCACTACTGATAATGATATCGTACAATTTATGAGTTTTTTTAATGTGGTAGGCCATAGCTGGGAACGATTCCCCAAGGGAGCCTGTGTTAAAATCCTGCATCTAGCTTGCGTCCAGTGGTATGAATAGTTGTATGGGGGTTCACAAGAGGATGTAACTACAGAAAGCTTTTCTACAAAATATTTGTCCCGATTTCAATATTTTCGTTAGTCGACCGACTAAATATTAAAACAAAAATGTTTATTTCTTTTCTCCAAACTCTAACTGAAAGCAAGAACATCCAGGCGAATGTTATATACTGTACCCCCTCTAAGCCTCCCAACACACACACAAGTGACCCGTCCTAGCTCCCGTCCACCAAGTCCCCCAGCCCTATATCGATTTATAGAAACGCCCACTGTAACCTCTAATTCAGAAATTATAAAGCGGTCAGCCGTAGTTTCGGTAGTTCAAATGCTGTAGTGAAACGGTAAAAACCGGCTGACTGGACATGATTGTTAGGATAACCTCATTTGACATAGTCTCGGAACGCACAAAGGTCGGAAAGTCTTTGTCCGACGAATGGCGTCACCCTGTATCAGTTTTCAGACCACAGCAAAGTCCTGCAGGGGTTTCTTCCATCACCGTAGATCATTGGTTAACAAAAAATCCAATCTGTCATATGTCAACTGCAGTTCCTATATAAGACGCCTTATGGTGGCCAATCACCTAGGCAACCGGCATGGGGATTCTTGTAAATTGATGTTTTGTACCCCATAAAATGATTTGCTTTTTAAATAAGATAGTTTCAGACGCTTCAGAAAATCGAAGTCTTTCACTGTAATTGGTGTATTGAGCGTTGTGTCAGATATGATGAACAGCCATAAACAAAAACAAAAACAACAAAAAACAATATACACATCCTTTGCCAAATGTACGTTATTCAGAAAGTTTAAAAGAAAACTTCTTGATAATATGTAATCTATTATGACTTGGTGGGGATATCGAAACAAATAGAACGTATTAAAAGTTGGTCCTACTGAGAGGACTTCCTAAAATAAAATTTTAAAAAAGCAAAACAAGAAGAGAAAAAAAATATGAAACTTAAACAGAAACTGAAAACGCACAGGTTAGAGGTAAAATGTGTTGTGTGCTTTTCGTAACGTCATATCAGTTATTATCTTGAATATATCTAGTACAAGTTTATTATTATCATATTTTTGTAAATTAATTTTTTTATTCTCTTCGATGTTTCAGTGAAAGTTATTTATATTTATATAACTAGAAAGACAAGAAACTCGGTTGATTGAAAGAACTTCTCGATGAAAACAGGAAAAACAGTGTTGTTATTATCTTATTTTCTTCAAATATTTCGTTTTAGTTCCTACATAAACTCTACCAGTATATAGATATGAACATTGTCATTCCGTCTCTGATAGAGCGAGTATGTGAGGGAAAACGAGCCAGTCTTGTCAGTATCTTGTGAAAGTTCTTGGTGCAGTCAAGTAATCGAACCCCGGTCGACTTTATGAATGTCCGCTGTTGGACCGTTCGGCCTGTCAGCAAGCGAGAGGGCATTGGTGTATACTGATGTTTTAGAAATTGAAGCCATAGTTTAACGTTGTCCTAGATTACAAATCTGAAGACCAACCGAGTCAAAACTTCATGGATATTCTAATCAGTACTGAATTATACATCAGGTGTTACAGGCATCACGGTTGACAGGTAACTAATGAAAACTCTATATTGATCCCAATTATGTCACAACTGCCCGTGGGTAACTCTTTGGAGTCATCATCTGAAAAGTTCACACCGTTTGCCGTGAAACTGCCGGTAGGAGGGAACACGACCACTAACTGTGACTTGAACTTAAAATAATACCGCAAACGGCCCGTGTTACATTAAATTTACGAATTTTACAAAAATATTAGTATTTACGACTCGGTAATCGGAAAGTGGACGAAATTCCGTAGAAATAACTTAATATGTTTTGTAATCCGCCCAATCTCCTATGGTATTTCTTGTTTAAACCTTAAACTGACTTCTTTGTCGACTTTGAACCCTCTCTCTCTTCATCACATTGCACAGAGGGAGGTTTATCGGCGTTATCCCATACGTCCATCTGATGTTTCCAGAAATATCTTACTCGAGGCAATATGGCGATGCTTTAAGTTCACATCTTTAACTACTTAAATGCAACCTTTGTCCTAAGCTTGACGTTGCGGCTAGCATATGTAATCGTTTGAGTGATAAAATCGATGATTTCGGCCGCTACACGGACAACGATATACAAGACTTGGCGACATTCACAAACTACACACATGTTCGTGACAATCTTCGGACATAGAAAAACTTCTTTTAAATTGCAGGTTTCGATTTCAACTTAAATACAGGACCTCAGTTTTTTTTTTTATCAAATATAATTTATTTTTATTCATTTTTGAAATGAACATATCATTTGTTTTACAAATATTTCAAACACATCCTCAAGTGTTTTAGACGTTTTGACCCGTGTTATATGATTCCTGCACTCAGTAACTGATGATGAAATTATCCATCGCGGACTGCAGTCTCGTCACACTCGAAACCATTAAAGATCAAGGAAATCACAGCTATCTGGTATACAGCATCAAGTGTATTACACCTGATACGACTGATGTCTCATTTAGTTTTAAAGTTCCGGGCGCTTCAAATACTTTTAAAAGTAGGCGAATTTTAGATATGTAACGGGAAATATATGTTCCTTTTTTAATTCTGGTATACAACATGAGTCAACATGAACAAACCTGCTTATTGATTTATGTATATTTTCTACAATTTTCTCCACGCTACGAAAATTTTTGCTAATTAGTTGGGTGAACTAGATTCACTGATTGGTGATGTAAACTAGCGTGCGGTGGTACATCTTGGCCTACATGATGACCTCAGGTAACAATCCGAATCGCATAGTAATTTTTCTCGGGATTCTGAGAAACGGACCGATATTTTGCCATGAAATCGCGGGATGGCAGTGATGTAGCCACCAGCTACTACAGGGTGACCCCGGTTATAATATACCACGGGCTATTCTCGGGGCGACAAACTCAGTATGTACAGATATGAACTGTTGTCAGAAAAACCAAACTGAACAAACCAAGAAAACCTCTCGCAAAATTTCCTATTTAGTAGTTGTGGTCTCTGCGAGTGTCTCCGTCGTGACATTAGATTACCGGGGACACCCAATTGTGACGTAATATTGGCACTTGTTCGGAAACTCGCGAATTGTATCTTTACAAACGTTTGTTGTCCGATAGGCAGATAACAGTAACCATAACTACACAAGGTGATTCTCGCTTTCCCGGGTACTGCTATCTCTTTTTATTGTAATTTGCTCTTGCATGGAGTACAAAGTTGATCAACCCCAATTAGTCCCCGAGTCCTACATCACTATTGTCGGCAGTATGGTTATTTGGTCAGTCAAGGAGCTTCCGGTTCAGCAGCAACTGTTCAATTTACTTTTTAAAAAGGCATATGATTAAAAAGAAACAATAAAAAGATAGTTCGTGAAAAGTTACAGGGAGGATAACATCAAGGCATCTGTCTTCTGTTTCAGAAGTAACAAAGAGTAACTAAAGAAATCTTGTTTAATTCAGTCAGTTGTAATGTCACCATAACGTT